GTTTTCTGATGATGAGGAGGCAAGGAGCAAGCTGATAGACTGGCCCTTGAAGTGTTCGTGCTCAAATCAGAGATCTTGCAACGGGAAGGTGTAAGGCTACATTTGTGTGTGATGTCTTTCGTTAAACCCTTTTTATTCTGGAGTGATTTTGGACTCACAAGAAGTTACCAGAGTAGAAGGGTGAGATCCTGTGTACCCATCGCCCGGCTTCCTCTGGTGAGAACATCTCACAAGCCTAACTGCAGCCCGAAGTCTTTTTAATGTCTCTGCCTGTCAGAGGAGGGTTTGGCTGACACTGCCTGAACCCCGGTCAGAATGTGCTGTTATGGCAATCGCAACATCTGTGTGGTACTTACTAACTGCCGGGGGAACTCCGGCTAACGACCCTCAGATGCCACAGCAGCCCAGTGAGATGCCACAGTAACTATCACTGTCCCCTTTTTGTAGATGAAGGAGCTGGGCTTTGTGTGGCACAGGTGAGCTTCACACCCAGGCTCCGAAGCCGCCCCGTGCTGCTTGCCCCGCAGGTCTCACTTGTGCCTTGGGAGCTCGGACGGTCCTGTGCGGCCGGTCTCCACACGAGGGTAGGATTTATCGCAGGCTGAGGGAGGCCTTGCCCCCACAGCTGCCAAACGTCGCGGGGCAGCTGCGACTGACAGACAGACGGGGATGTTGAAATGCTGATTGATTCCCTTCTGTCTCATTTCTGGGATGCTTAGTCCCTGGCTCAAGCACGGCAGTGGCGAGTTTACAGATGAAGATATCTCATGGCTTTCATGTTGACTGCCAAGGAGTACGAGACAAAGCGTGCTGGCAGACGGCCAGTCTGGGCTGGGACAGGGCAGTAGGCGTTGAGACCCAGCTGACACGCCGGAGGACCTTCCAGAGGCATTTTCGCAAATCCCACCCTTGGTGATAGTCCTGCAGAAGTGGTCTTTTCTTCAAGAGGCTTGATTCCAAATCAAATCGCTGTGTGTGTATCAAATATCACGGCCCTCTGCCCACTCTTTAAATATCCACGTTGTTTCTCTGAGTGCAGCTGCAAAGGAAGGCAGCGGGGAAGGGAAAGGTCACGTCAGTCTCCGTCGCTGCGTTTGGTGCCAGGTACAACAGAAACCAAGGGCAGTTGAGCCCAGATGACCTTGGTAACTTGATCTCTCGCATTCCATGTGTTCCAGCCAAGGAAATAAATACTAGAGTATAATGTCTAAGAGATGATTAACACTTTTGCCGTCCCAGACTTTACAGGTAAGGAAAGCTTCAGGGAGGGTGAACAACTTAGATTCTCCACTTAGTATTTGGCACAGCCAAGATGGGGCCTGGATCTTGGGCTCCAGAGTGCAGCAAGGACTTGGGTGTTCTGTGGACCTGGGTTCCCTCCTTGACTCTGCCACTAACCAGCTCTATGGTTTTCTCTAGGCCTCACTTTTTTCCAGCTTTTAAATGTGCACAATCATAGTACTTGCCTCACCAGGTTCTTATGAGAGTAGGGGACGTGACTTGAGAACAGCTTGGCAGAGTACCAGGCACGCAGCATAACCAGGACATGTGAGCCGTTTGTACTGGTCCAGTCCTCCATTCATTAGGAATGAATCTGGCTACGTTAATGCAACAGTAACGCAATGTTGACTTAAACAAATGGTAGTTACTTTTCCCAGGCAGTCGGGAGGCAGTCCCAGGCTAGCCAGGAGCTGAAGGATGCCATCAAAGACTATTTACCTTCTTTCCTTCTATTCTGCTCTCTGTAGCATAGTGGTTTGCTTCCTCCTGGTTGCAAGACGGCTGCTGCAGCTCCATCCACCATGTGTAGGGGGAGAGGTACAGTAGCAGTCATATTTTCCCCTTTTGTAAGGAAAGCAAAAACTCTCCCAGAAACATATCCACAGCCACAGCAGACACCTGCTTTTGTTACTTTGGCCTGAAATAAGTCCCCTGGCTATCCATAGCTCCAAAGGACACTCATAAAATAGGCTTTTCAGGCATAATTGTACAGATGGCAACAAAATAGGAAGAAGAGAATGGGAGTAGATTGAGTCCTTTGGATTTGCCACAGCCCTGCCTGCCTCTCACGCTGTCATTGAAAAGAATACTTCCTTGGTCCTCAGGTGACTTAGTTAATCCTAGTCACATGTTCATGGCAATGAGAAGCAAAGCCCTTTTTTCTAGACTGACTTCCTTTTATTCTTGCAAAATGTGTGCTGTTTTATGTGCATCTATTTTTTTCTTAACTTTTTAATTACAGTATAACATACATACAGTAAAGTACACAAATCTTTACTAATCACCTCAAATAACTTTTACCCTTTATCCCTATGGAAACACATTCATATCAACATATAGAACATTCCCAGTACCCAGAAATCTTCTGCTTTTTCCCATCTGTCAATATTTCCTCCTAAAGGTCATCATTATTCTGAACTCCATCACCATAGGTCAGTTCTGTCTGTTCTTGGGCTTCATCAAAATGGATTGTACATTTTTATGTGCCTTTTGTTCGTCTGATGTCTTTCACTCGGCTGTGGGAATCACCTATGTCATTGCACATGGTAGCAGTTCATCCCCTGCTTTCTGTGCTTGTCTCTCTGCACAGATCTAAGATAAGTGGCATGATGAGAACGGGCATAGCACAGAGATGGAAGTTACCTATTTTCACTCATGGAGTGTCTTTTCCTCCTAAAACCCACCCCTTTGATTTTTTTTTGCAAAGCTTGCCTGCACACCGCTCCCTCTGGCAGCAAGTCTACTTTAAAAGGAATCTCTTGGAGACTTGGATGTTTGCTTTGGATGCTGTCAGCATAAAAGAATTTTCTGGAGTACTTCTTCATTTGGAGCGGGTGGAAGAAGAGAGTAAGAGAGGATGCTTTCAGGAAGGACATTTTTAGGCAAAAGAAGAAACAGCAACTAAAGGCGTCATTAGGATCTGGAGCCTGGAAGCCAGGCTGCTGGGCAGAGATTTACATCATTCTCTGTCTCCCCACTTCTAGCAGTCTCAAGCCAAAGATCAAGGGGATAAGGATGGTTGTCACTCTGTCTCAGGTGGGGCTGGGCAGCCTGGTTTGAGCTCAGGCTGACTTTTAGGAAGCCTTCCTTCCCCAGACCCCGGGGGATGGCCTTCCCCTGTCAAAGTTAGTGTGGCTTTCTTATGAAAACACTTCACCCAGGATGAGCTTGAGAGCCGGGAAACAAGCTGATGCTTTTCAGAGGAATCTTAAATGAAGATCAAATGGACTAGTTATTCTTACAAGTGTGTTCATATAGGTAAGTTAGGGATCAAGTAGAAAAATTGAAACTATACAGTTAGCTCTAGTGGCTGGTGATCATCTTTAGTTGTCTGCTGATTCTGTGCCTTGTAAGTGCTGGGATAATGTACTGGGATATTCAGCTCAGACTTAGTCAGGGTTTCCATGTGCTAAAATAGCTAAACTGGCCAGGCTCAGTGGCTCACGCCTGCAATCCTAGCACTCTGGGAGGCCAAGGTGGGTGGATCGCTCAAGGTCAGGAGTTGGAACCCAGCCTGAGCAAGAGTGAGACCGTGTCTCTACTATAAATCGAAAGAAATTAATTGGTTAACTAAAAACATATATATAAAAAGTTAGCCGGGCATGGTGGCATATGCCTGTAGTCCCAGCTACTCGGGAGGCTGAGACAGTAGGATCGCTTGAGCCTAGGAATTTGAGATTGCTATGAGCTAGGCTGACGCCACGGCACTCTAGCCCAGGCAGCAAATAAATAAACAAACCAACAAATAAATAAATAAATAAAATAGCTAAACTATTTTATTAAGTTTTTATTAAGTCTAGGTCCCCGGGTCTTGCTAAGGGGGGCTTTGCAATATATTATTTCAATTATTCTCTATAGGGCCTGGGAAGGTAGGTAAGATTATTCCCATTTTACAAGTGAGATTGAGGGTTAGAGAATTGAAGTGACCTGCTACTAGCAGGTCATAAGAAGTAAGGCTGCTGTTCAAAACCAGGTCTCTTGGATTCTAAAGCCTGTGTACCTTACACGACACCATGCTGCCTTTTTAAAATGCCCCTCCCCTGCCTCCTGATTTGCCAACCCTCCTCTTGTTCCTCACCTTCCTCTCCTCAACACATACTTCTCAATATTTGTACAGTAAGTTACTGGTTTTAGAACAGCTGAAAACTGCAAATACCCTGTCACTTATTTTGATTTTAGCTAGTTGTTGAAGCTTCACTACAACATAATGCACAAATCTTTACTAGATGGCCCAAGGGATCTATTATATTTTATTAAAGGGATTTTTAGAAATATTTAAAACTATATAGCACAGTGGAAAAGACCCTGATGGATAATAAGAAGACATTGGTTTCAGTCCTACTGTTATCACAAGTTAAAACAAGCTGTACGATCTTGAGTGTGGATCTAACTCCTGTGTGCTTCAGCTTCCCTCATCTGTGAAATGAGATGGTTGAAGTATGTGATTACTAATGTCCCCATTTATTTTAAAAACATGAGCTGCTATGACCTTCTTGGTTTTGTAATTCTAAAATGGGTTCAGAATACAAATATTTCTTAAAGGAGACTTAATTAGTAAACGTAAATCCAGAGAAATGGATAACATTAAGGCTTTCAATATTTTTTGAAAAAAAATACAAGTTCTTTACTCTTCCATGTAAAGCTACATTTTCCATTGTGTTTCCCAGTCTATCATTCCCACCAAAAAAAAAGGCATAGGTTCTTAAACAATTCACACTGGAGCTTAGATTCCTTGAGGGTCTGGCAGGATTTAATCTTGGATAAGAGGATATGAAATATTGCCAAAAGCTAATCTCAGGTTCCCAACCCAAACACAAATTCCTTCTTGTTCAGTATATGAATATGTAATGTAAACTGTTTTAAATTATAATTGGTACTATTGAATAGAATTAAGATGCTTTTCAGTAACTCTGAAAATAAGAAATAAGGCAATATAATAGCTTAATTAGTTATTATAAGAATGTTCTATACTTACAGAAATTGTCACTGCATTGTTTTAGACCCAGTAAAGAAAAAACTGGCTTTGTGAGTGACTCGGGAGCATCAGTTATCAAACATGGACTCAATCCAGAGAAGCCCTTCATGCAGGTGCATTATTTAAAGGTAAGCAAGCAGATCTAAGTGGCAGAAGCCAGTTATGAGGGTGCAGCATTTTTTAGGTTATACAATTAAACAATGAAGATTAGTAAGATGGCTAAGGCAAAACAAAACAAAACAAAATCATCAGTATCAGAATGACATCTGACTGGGCAAAATCTGAGTGTCCAATAATTAAAGCACTTTAATGCCCAAAAATGGAGACCACGTTAGGAAGGCCTGGATCAAAGGCCCCGCTCCTCCCTTCTCCCTGCTTCAGGTGAGCTTCGAGGAGCAGAACATTCACAGTGCTGTCAGTTCTGACTAGAAGACTTGAGTAAAAAGGGAGCCTTTTAAGTTGTAAAGGCTTTTCCTGAGAGCTGAAGTTAGAGAGCAGCTGGGCCTTTCTTCCTTTTCAGTCCGTGATGGACATCTGGGCTTCGTGTGAACCAAGTCAAAGCAGAGGTGGTGATAACATTAACAGAGGAGTTGCAAATTAATTAATTTCCAGGCCCAGCCTTCCTGGTCAGAATATAAAGGGCAGCCTGGGACGGTGAGAGAGTACATTCTAGAGGTGCGCCTGCCCTGGTGGGTTATTTAGTGTTGACTGTGTAAGCATTGCTGTGATGAGCTCGTGACAGGCAGCTTTTTTTTCTCTCTCTCCTTCCTTTCTTGTAGGGCTACTTCCTTCTTCGGTTCCTTGCCACAAAACTTGGAGATGAAACCTATTTCTCATTTTTAAGAAAATTTGTGCACGTGTTTCATGGGCAATTGATTCTTTCCCAGGTAAATTATGGGGCTGCGTGAGTCCATGATTTATAATTGGATGGGGTGTGGCATGTGGGGGTTAGATTATGTCAGTATTAAAGAGTAAAGATTTACAATTTAATGCAGTGGGAAAAACAGGAAGTTAATGAAGTGGACACAAGGAAAGTATTGTTTCAAGGAGGGTGATCTCCCTATAGTTTTGGGATAAACTGAAACCCTAAGCTGTCTCACACACAGTGATGGGGATAGTTGTACCTTAAGTGACCTTAAAAACAAAACCAAAACAATCCTGCTGTTCCCTCTTCCTGGTATTCTCTTTGTGAGGTTGCCTCCTTCTTACTCTTTAGTCTCAGTTTGAATGCCAGAACTTCTGAGTCATCCCAGCAAAACAGATATGCACCCAGACTCCTATTCTCTACCCCTTCGCCCTCCTCATCGCCTTCATTGTCATTACCGTTATCTATACTTATGTTTTTCATTTGTGGGGCTATTTGTTTCTTTTCTTTTTCTTCCACTATCTGTATAAGTTCAATAAGACCAGGCCATGTTTTTTTTATTTCACCAGTACTTAGTCCATGATTGGCACACAGTGGGTATACTGTAAATATTTGATAAACAGATTAATAACAATACAATGAAGCTGTACAATTAATAAACGATACAATTAATAAACAATACATTTAATACAATGAAGTATTCAGACAGCCTGGCCACAAAACTATCAGAGAGAGACCCCATCATTTTATACGGGTATGGGGCCAAGCAGTTAATTTCACAAGGAAATTAACAAAGAGTGAGAGGTTCTGAAAACAGTGCCCATAACCGATAGAAAGTAGATGATGCATTCTTAGCATAGATTAGACTAAAGGGTGTTTTTATATTTGATAATTATGCTCACATACGTGGTGAGTCACACTGACTACAAGGTTAGATGTGAAGGATGGGCATGTATGATCTGAATACATGTCGAAGGAATAACAAAAATGTAACAAGACGACAAGTGTTCCTCATCTCTATATTCTTTCATTTTTGCACTGGAGGTTTGGGAGAATTCTTTCTAAGCATGTATTTGATTAGGCAATTTGAAAACTGGTTCAGAAGTCTTATGTGCTTGGTTGACCAATTAGTCCAAATTCCTGCTTCTTAAAACCACTTCTCACCAAGATACTGAAGGGTTAAATGAGTGTATGGTATGTGGCTTCTGAAGTTCTGGTCACCACTTCCGACGGAACTCTTAGTGCTCCTCCAACAAATCATTTGGTTCTTTTGTTTATTCTGTTAAATAATAGCTTTATTGCCTTTTTCATAACAACTTTTATTGATATAAAAATTCACATACCGTAAAATTCACCATTTAAAATTGTGTAAGTCAGTGCTTTTTAGTATATTCACATGGTTGTTCAACCATCAGCATTATCTAATTTTAAAACATTTTTATCAAACTCAAAAGAAATCATTAGCAACCACTTTCCCCATTTCAATTGCCCCCAGCCCTAGGCAACCAGTAAACTATTTCTGTCTCTATGGATTTGCCTATTCTGGACATTTCATATAAATGAATCATATAATATGTGACCTTTTGTGTCTGTCCTACTTTTACTTAGCAGAATGTTTTCAAGATTCATATAGCATGTATAGTACTTTATTCCTTTTTTATTTTTTACTTTTATTTATTGATTGATTTAGAAATAAGGTCTTGTTCTGTTGCCCATGCCAGAGGGCAGTGACGTGATCATTGTTCACTACAACCTCAAACTCCCAGGCTCAAGTCATCCTCTTGCCTCAGCCTTCCAAGTAGCTGAGACTACAGGCACGTGCCACTATGCCTAGCTAATTTTTAATTTTTTTTGTAGAGATGGGATCTTGTTATGTTGCCCAGGCTGTTCTCAAACTCCTGGCCTCGAGCAATCCTCCTGCCAAAGTGCTAGGATTACATGTGTGAGCCACTGCACCAAGCATTTATTTTAATTTATATTTAATTGTGATAAAACATATATGACATAAAATTTACCATTTTTGCCATTTTACAGTACACAGTTCAGGAGCATCAGTACATTCACATTTTTTTGTGGTGATCACCACCATCCATCTCCAGAACTATTTCATTTTCCCAAAGTGAAACTCTGAGACCATTAAGCAGTCCCTCTTCATTGGTCCCTCCCCACAGCCCCTGGCAACTACCATTCTGCTTTTTCTCCTTATGAATTTGACCACTATAGGTACCTCATATAAGTGGAACCATACAATATTTGTCCTTCAGTGTCTGCCTTACTTCACTTAGTGTAATATCTTTAAGGGTCATCCATATTATAGCACAAGACAGAATTCCCTTCCTTTTTTAAGGCTGAATGTTCTATTGCATGCATATACCATATTTTGTTTCTCATGTGATCTGTTCCTGAACATTTAGATTGTTTCCATCTTTTTGGCTATTGTGAATATTGCTGCTATGAACATTAGTGTACCAATATCTGATTGAGTCCCTGCTTTTAATTCTTTTGAATATATACCCAGAAGTGGAATCATTGGATTATACGGTAATTCTGTGTTCAATTTTTTGAGGAACTGCTGTACTGTTTTCCATGGTGGCTGCACCATTTTACATTCCTACCAGCAATGCACAAGGGTTTCAATTTCTCCACATACTTGCCAACACTTGTTGCCTTCTGTTTTTTTGATAATTGCCATCCTAGTGGGTGCGAAGTGGTAGCTCATTATGGCTTTGATTCGCATTTCTCTGATGGCTAATAATGTTGAGTATTTTTTATGTGCTTATGGCCCATTGGGGCCATTCTTTGGAGAAATGTGTTTTCAGATCTTTCGCCCATTTTTTATTTGAGTTATTTGTTTTTTAGTAAAAACAAATATTTGAGTTATTTGTTTTTTAGAGAGAGAGAGAGAGAGAGTACTTTTTATATTCTGGATATAAGTTCCTTATCGGATATATGATTTGCAAATATTTTATCTCCTCTTATACATTGTCTTTTTACTTTCTTGATAGTGTCCTTTATAGCACAAAAGTTTTTAATTTTGATGAAGTCCAATTCATTTATTTTCTCTTCAGTTGCTTGTGCTTTAGGTGTTATGTCTAAGAAACCATTGCTTAATTGAAGGTCACAAAGATTTATTCCTACTGTTTTTTCTTAAGAGTTTTATAGTTTTAGCTCTTATAATTAGGTCACTGATCTATTTTGAGTTAATTTTTGTATATGGTGTGAGGATGATGGTTCAACATCATTCTTTTGTTTTTTCTACATGTGAACAAATCAACATCATTGTTTCATATGTGAATACCCATCGTCCCGTAATCATTTGTTGAAAAGACTATTCTTCCCCACCAGTGATTTGTCTTGGTATATTTGCCAAAAATCAATTGAACATTAATGTAAGTGTTTACTTCTGGACTCTCAATTCTATTCCATTGATCAGTATTTCTGTCCTTATGCTGGTACCATATTGTCTTGCTTACTGTAGCTTTGTATTATTTGGAAATTACTGCTTTTTCAACTGGCAAATACTCATCATAAAAGATTCAAGCAATGCAGAAAAGTACAAAGAATGTAAAACATTATTGAAAATCTCACCACTCAGAAACATTTATAATTATTATTACATGAATGTCATTCCATAAATCATACTATTTCTGTCTCTTTTTATATGTTAAACATCATGTGTATACCTATCTCTGTATGTGTAGATGGTATATGTGTGTGTATACACATGTAAAAGATATCATTGGACAGAAATAATTTTATAAAAACAGAATTATATGTGCTTTTTTTTTTTTTCTTAATAGAAACGAGATCTCACTCTGTCTCCTAGGCTGGAGTGCAGTGACACAATCATAGCTCCCTGCAACCTTGAACTCCTAGTCTCAAGCTTCCTGAGTAGCTGGGGCTAAAGGCATGCACCACCACAGCTGGCTAATTTTTAAAATTTTTTGTAGAGACAGGATCTCACTATGTTGCCCAGACTGGTCTCAAACTCCTGGCCTCAAGTGATCCTCCCACCTCAGGCTCCCAAAGTGCTGAAATTATAGGCATGAGCCACTATATCCAGCTATATATACTTTTTAATGAAACATTTAAAATTTTCTTTTACTTGAATTTAATAAGTGAAAAGAATAAAATAAAGATAAAGAACTCTCTGAACTTTAGATAAATATGAGAGGATTATTTCCTAATAGATTCTTCTATAATTAAAAAACATTATTAATTACAAAAAAAATAAGAGTTGAAATTGTTCTTTTTTTTCTTTACCTATATATTTGATGTTTAGAAAGCATCATTTTATTCACCACTGTACAAAAAGATGAGGAAATCAGTTGTTAAGTACTTCTACTACTTTCCCCAATTCTAAATTTTTCGTAATTATTATTTTTACATATTAAGGTTGATTTCATTTACAGTATGTACTGTAACCATAAATTTCACAGTTGTATAGTCTTAGCTCAGTATTTAAAGTATTTCAGCATTTACCATCAGTCATTTTACCATGCTTCTATATTCATGAATATTTTATTTTGATTCAATTCTTTGTTGGCTGAATTTCATTATCAAATTGATATTCAAGTTGCAGACTCACAGGTTTTATGATTTCTGAGTTCTTACTGCTTAAGAATGCTTGCTTGTTGTGTTTATATTTGAATTACTAACTGACTATAATACTCTCAGGTCACAGTTTCATTGCCACAGAACTTTATCGACACTGCTCAACTGCCTTCTGGCATTAAGTCCTGCTGTGGAAACTTTTGAAGTCAGCCTACTTTTCTCCCTTTATACCACATAGATTGCTTATCTTTGAAGTTTTGAATTTAATCAAAAAATGGCTTGGTGTCCATAATTCTTTTTTTTTCCTGGAAAACAGTGTGTGTTTTTATTTTTAGTCTTAGATTCTAGTCTTCTTTCTTTCAGTAAAATTATCTTAACTATATCTTTGAACACACGTTTTTCCCCTTGCAGGGTTCTGAATTTCAAGTTACCAATTTTCTTTGTGTTATATCATCTTTGTCCTCCATA